AATTCTCTTGATCCGCCCCTGAACATGCCTAAGCCTACACAATTTTGTAAGTGGCTGTCTCTCTTGAGCTCACATAAACAGTTCTAAGGCACGCCTTTCGAAAATGTAGACATTCCGAACTCAATAAATGTTTTGATGTTGCTTGTAGCCATGAAAAATAATATTTCACATATTCATAATACTGTACTTATATTTTGTGACTATAGCTTTGGAAAGCTTAGTGCTCATTCGAGGTTGACTTAAAATATCTCTACAGACAAATTTAGTTCTTGAAACTTCTGTTTTTTCAATCCTACCTGGTTCTTTTCTTTCAAAAACCTCCTCATGTTCACCGTACGTAATTGATCCAGCGGTTATAGATATCACTGGCAAAGTGCCATCTATGTTGGTGTCGACATGAAGTTGGCCTTGCTCATCAAATCCTAAGAAATCTTGAGTAATACGAACAAAGTAACCACCATCTACGCTCACGTATGCCTCACGGTATAACTTGCCGCCTGAATGAATGTTGACAGCAAACAAATATAATTGTAGTATCATATTATAGAGAAAACTTTCGTTCCTTCATGGTTCTATTGGGATAAGTTCAATTATGGTCGGCAAACATTTGATTAAGTATTGACACGGAGATTCTGCATTCTATTGCTAATTGTGTGTCTACAGCGCTTTTTGTGTTACATTCAGTACACTATGTGTTGAAGCAAACTTCACGCGATTGCAAAGTACTCAAAATAAAATTAGGACCTACACTATAAAGTGGCAATATAAAACACAATTACACAGTATTTCCTTATAAACGATACGTCGATATAACATATTTAGACTAAAGTCCGCTATATTGCAATAGGCCTAAATGATAATTAGCTCTAAATACAAAGAGACCTTTTGGTATTTAATAACTTATTCATCCGCATTATCTGAGATCAAAAACAAGGCACGCAAATGAATCAATTACCATTATAACTAGTAATTGGTTCAGATTACACCTTAAGCGACTTTGAGCAAACGTATAAAGCATGTTAATTACATGGCTTTATAAATAATACCACTGTTTGCCGAAAAACATTCTTTTAATTCAATTATACTTTTTAAACCCGATATTTAAGGTTCAATCATCACCGACGTAAGTAAATGAAAGAATTAAGTTTTAAAATATTATTATTAATAATAATAATGTCATCTTATTAGGCGCACGTATCCATATCTTGGTAGAGCTGCTCGCGGCACCGTTTTCCACCTGCAGAGTTGAGTGTAGATGTAGCCTTTTTTCTGCATTATTATTTTGAATTAATTAATTTTATTTAAATTATTTATTTATTTTTATGTATATTTATTTATGACAGACCTGACATAGATGGGAAAGATAGGAAAAATAAGATGCACACTCTTCGGGGTCACCATCCATCACCACGTACCCTGGCGCATTTCCGGACCTCTGCCTAGGTGGCTCGAACAAAGCGACTGGAAACACATTTGCCCTGCCACATCTAAATATAATCACATATTAATCTCGCCCCCTTCTCTGCTGCTACCCAATTTGAATTTAAGATCCTTAACATTTATAGGCATAATAGGCTGTAAGGAGGAAACATCAGTTCAGCTTGTCTAACTCCGTTGGAGCAAAAACAGTGCGACTGATCTTAACACAATGCTTTTGGTGACTCGTTCAAAGCTAAACGTGTGTAGTTGAGTATTTTATTTCATGACAAGTGTAGTAGCAGCAGCAGTAGTAGTAGTAATACAGCAGCAGCAGCATACTACCACTAACTAGGTAGTATTCATGGTATGCTACATAGTATTGTGGACAACCTGAAAAATTCTTGGTGTGTTCTAGTGGTTGTTGTAGGCCTACGGTAGTACATTTCAGTTTTCATAATCCGTGTTTTCTAACCTGTAAGCTGGAACCCATTCAATGCTTTGTCTGTAGATACAGAGAACATCCACCCCATGAACTCTCCGATTGTCGAAAGAAGCTGCATTGTCAAACCAAGGTCCTCATCGAGGGGACTCACGGCTACGTAAGCTCTTCCCTCTCCAAGTACAACGAACGTGTGAAGATCAAGATCAGAAAAGGTTTTGCCGTTGATGTTGCCACTCACAAGTCCGCTTACCCGAATATCAGAACCTAATGATTATAACATGAACAACGACATTTATAATAAATATAATCATTATACAGTAAATGTATATTAATAGGGCAACATATAATATAATAGGCATAGTTGCTATGCATTGCATAGTAATAATGTCAGATTACATCCTATATATTTCAAATTAGGACTTGCTTTTAAGCTAGTAATTCAAGAGTAGGTTACGTTGATACAATATCCTACTATTGTTGTTTATAGAGAAACTCCAATAGTACAATATTCAGATATAACCACAATGCAAATTAAACGAGCACACAATAAGGACAATGAGGTCGGTGTTTGCGGTCTAAAGGCAGTGATCCAGAAACATTTTGTCTACCAATTTGATCCAGTTTTACATTTTAAATAGGCCAAGTTTAGTTCTTTAGGTGTATTCACATATTATATATTCACAAAAACAAGATACAAGTAGATTTCTATACCGAATGAAACCTCGCCTCTGGTGAAACTGAACCAGCATGGGTGTAATATTTGAGTTTTAAATGAAACTAGAAAATGTTTATAAAATAATGATTTAAGTAAAACATTAAAAATAAAAATTAACACATTAAGGAAAATAATTGAAATTATAAATTAATCTAGAGAATTAGAGGACATATTAGATGTCAAAATATTCATATTATTGTATGTTGGGGTAATTGCTAATTAAAAAAGGAACAGAAGTAGATATTATCCTCCTATTATATTTCGGATTTAGGTTCTAATCTTGGTATCTCAAGGGGCGTGTAATAAGCCCAGCCTTCAGAATGTACATGAAAATTTTAACATCATGATTATTATTGGTACTGCAATTTGAAAACTAACGCATTGCTAAAAAGACTGATGTTACCTTCTTGTAGACATGACACACCATTTCCCGTGTAACCAGCATTGCAAACACAACAGAACCCGTCACTGTATTTTTTACACTCTCCATTACACTGGCTACAATCATCTTCGACGACATCTGCTACAACAGAACCAACAAAAACGTATTGGTTATCTCCTTTCTAACAACAGCACACCCAACAAAAACGTATCGGTTATCTCCTTTAACAACAGCACACGTTAGGAAGATAATTAAAAATGAATCCACCATTTTAATGAATAAAAATTAGTTATCATAAGAGTAGTTAATAATTTTTTGAATTTTATGTAAGAACGAAATAATGATGTATATAATGGCACAAATGCCTACTTGGAGTTTTATCGACAATACATGCTACTTATGTCCTAGCAGCATAATAAGCCGTATTGTACGGTAATACGCCTACATGTAGTAATAAATATTATTCGTTATAATATAGTTAGATACTGTTTCATAAAGTTTCAGAATGTATATTAAGTAATTTAAATAATGTTCAACTTGTCCGTAAAATGCATTATATAGGATAGTCGGCCTATTTGAGCACTGTTTCTATCATTTACCCCTATATTTTTTCCCAGTGCTAACTAGTAATTTTAATTTATGATGTTGCTTTACTATTATTTCTACAGCGTTTTTCCTGAATTCTTTTATATGGCCTGCATTGGTTCTTGGTGAGCCTACCTCTATTGCTGGTATCAGTCGAAGCTGTAGTTGATATGAAAGGGTCTGTTTCTGTCGGAACGGTTTCTCCAGAACCATCTGGCTCATTACCGCTATCTGGTTGACTAGTACCAAATGCTCTAAGGTCGTATAAAAACAAACCAGGTAGGCCAACATTGGATTCTCTGTAAAAGAAGTAATTTAGTATACTGTAAATTTGTGTATAACTATATGAAAACAGGAGAAAGTCGACCTACAACAATTTGAATTATGGGAAGTGTTTATTTGTAACAGAAGTTGCTTAATGTATAACATATTTGGGAATGACGAAAATAATATTATGCTTCTCCGCTGTGATCAAAATTAACGTTCCCCTATCAAAGGCTTTACCAAGGTTCTTCCCCCGTACTTGTTGTTACAATATTGTTATCGTAGCTGTAAATGTGATACGTATCATATGTTTTTAATGTATACAGAGTGTGATTACCACGCAATAAGTAGCGTTAATAAATTGAAAAAAAAAACCACATTTACAGGATACAATATTATTGGTTTGTCGAATATAAGCCTAATGTCATATTAAACATACAATCATAATTACATGTTTGCACTGGCATGACAGTAAATTGGAAATCTTTAGTGCTCAGCATCCTAGTAATTAATGTGGGCGTAAATCTAAAGCTAACCCATATTTTCTCTTTGCTCCATTGTTTTCATAGTTGTCAAATGAGTACAAACAGAACACACGCTTTCTCGTCGTGGCCACCTTCTGTCCCATCAAATATCACCGAATAAAATTATTTATGTTGTTAATTTGAAATCATCCATTTGTCTTCATTCATTAACGAGTACATAGGACTATGCTTTGTCAGTGTTAATCCCCTTTTCATATCTATGTTTTGTACTCTCGTGAAACACTGAAAATGTAGGCCTAAGACAGTATGGGACTGACAGGGCTCGACGGTTTTTATGGCGAAATTTTGTTGATGTGCCGCAACAACAAAATCTTGATATTTTACTATAATAAAAAAGCAAGAGATAAGCCCAAAAAGTTATAGGCCTATTTGTAGTATTTGCTAGTTCGTTATAATTATTATCGGATAGGATTACAGCAATTCTAAAAAGAACATTTAGTCTGAAGGTTTAATAGTTTATCACATTAAAAACGATAGTTTCATCGTGCTAGAAGCAGGTATTGAGACAAAAATCAGAAATATATATACATATCTTACATATCCAAGTCGAACACAGAAGATAAGCCTGAGCCAGGTAATAGAATGTATGAACTACCGTCACCCAGCGTAACACCTGCCTGGGGGAAGCTGGTGGTTCCCGATGGTACTTGAATCGGGTTTTCGTATTGGAACATGGCGTACGTTGACAAGCCATCAGTTGCTATGACAAGTTGGAATGTTACGGTCTAAAAAGAAAAATTTCACGCTATCTTTAATGATTTATTAAATTATTGTTTATTATGAAATTATTGTAATTCATTTCAATACTGCTAACATTATTATAAATATAACATATTCCTACCGCTGACGTTCCTTTCTGTAGGACGTCTTCCCAGGTAAATATCAGAACACTTTGTGGAGTAAAATCTTTACTGAGATATCGGTAGACGTCGTTTCTGGCTTTGCGAAGGTAATCCGTATCAGTTGAAGAACCATACCAGATATACCCATTGTCAGAACTATGATAAAAAAAATACATAATGACAAAATTATTAAATGTATTTAATAATAACAAATGTTTAATACATTATTTTCTGTAGTAGGCCTTACAAAACACTCGCTTGTGTTAGCTTAATTTAGAATAATACATTAGTTGTGTATGTGAATGGTGTCCATTTCGTAATGATACACGTACTGAACCTGTACTTTGTAATATTTTGCTCCTGCCTATTTCAATATAAGCCTAATCTAGCCCTAAACAACATGCCTAATGTTTTATTCGCAATTTGTAATACAGTAAGTTTAGCGGTATGTGTAGGACTGAAGGCTAGGTGTAAATTAGACAAATTAGGGGCGTTTGAGTTAATAAATTAGAAGCACTATTGAGTCGTTCAAAAATGAATGCCTTGGAATTTTGCATTAATTACCCTTAATCATGCAATAAAATTCCATATTTTGCTCCAACCGGAATTTGTGATTGCAATATCAACGCTGACATAACTGTGATTGATTTTAATTTTTTAATCCATTGTCCAATACATACATTTAAAAAGTTCTGCAATGATAGGCCTATATAGTGGAGTGAAATAAGGGCTTCATCTCTTCTATAATTACCACTTCCTATAACTTCTAATTAAACGTCCTCAAGAGATTGGGCGATTTCTTTAAAACCTACACAACATATTGTAGACTTAAGAGTAAACTAGTTTAAATCCCAGGACCATGGGATTAGAAGGCAGCAGGCGTTGATGAGTAACTGCACTCCAATCCAACGTAAGGTATCGTTTTTTAAGATATATATATTTTCAAGCTAGGATATTACATATTATTATATTATGTCTCTGTGTGTTCTCCAGTATCTGAACGTTCTTATAAACTACCTCCCATTCATATTCACCTTTGTATTTTTTCTCTATGTGTATCCCTCTGTATCAAACACTTACGGTATTGGAAAAAAAAAATAGCTCATGCCCATATTCAGTAGAATGCATGTTTATTACGGTATTCAATTTACGTTTTCTTTTTCTCTTTTTGATCTTTTTTCTGCTACGTCTACCATTTTCAACACAAATCAATCTGGTGTAAACCATGTCAGAGTCGTTTTGTGTACCTGTAAACAGGTGGGATGGCCGGGTTTCTTTTCAAAACGAATGCTGTAAATTTTGGGAATATGTAATATAAAGCATCAATCTGTATCATGGAGTATATTAACTGACATTAAATCATCTAAACTACTGTATAAACCAAGCGTGTTTTTAATTTATTTTGCTGCGTACGTATGTCTATGAAAAGAAGCATGTGGGCTTGTTTTCGAGGCTAATATTGGAAAACTAAAGAGGGCGCTTCAATTCATGATGGGCTTTTTCTCGAGATTAAGCCCACGTCTGGGCTTTCATTCGAGGTTTTACGTTATTACTACAAGCAGAATACAGATGTAAATAAACAGAATTCGGTTCAGTGTTATCTTTTTATTACTATGATGTACTGAATTATTATTTTTTATTGGAGCAATGTTTTCACACTTAGAGACTCTTCTTCTTTAACATTCAAATTGCTTAGGCCTATGTATAAAATAATAATGATGAAAAGATACGAAAACACTATCAGCAGCAGAATGCTCAATGGTATGCCAAAGGAAAAAATAAAATAAAACAAGGATTCAACAGTAACAGTAATCAGCATTAGGCCTAAATCAAGACGGTATAGATTAATGGTCAATGACTGTATATTAAAGATCTCCCTCCATTTTTTGGACCGCGGTTTTCATGTTATTATTGGAGACATTAACATAGCCTACAGTAGTTAGGCCCTACCTTGATGGATTAATTGATCTGAAATGCAAATGGATGAACTCTGTCAGATTAACTTCGATCAATAATAGGTACATCTTTCAAGTAGTCGATCAGTCAAATAAACATATGGCTCCAGAATATATTACGGACGGTAATTAAATCATATTCTACCCCGTATTGTACAAAACATAATCAATTCAAACATTTTCTGCGCGAGTGATTAAGATTTTAAGGACTAATTACCGCAATACCCACACGATCCTGATTAAAGTTTCATCTAAAAAAAACTGTAACTGACTTTATAAAAAGATGATTATAATTGGCATTGAGGAAACAAACAACACTCAACTATAACAAATTAGTAACAGCAGACAGTTGTTGGTATCACAGTTCAGTAAGCAACTGATTAAGTTCACGGTAAGTTCAAGCAGAGGAAAATATTTATATCATTTTTCGCTCGGATAGTCCCATACAAGTATCAAATTCATTGTTTCAATTTCTACAGAGAGCTCGTTGGAACATACCGTTAGTCATTTCAACTGGAAATTATCAACACTTTTATTAAGTCACGTGTGACTTATAGACACAAGGATGTATCTCGTGTGAGTAAACTGAATAGAAAGAATGCTATTTTTAACAATTCTGTCCAAAAAGGAGAGAGGGGTCATTCTAAAAATGGGCGAATTTTATTAATCTACTTAGAGTTAAGTGCATACAACAATTGAAGTTAGGACCTCCTAGATAGATAATTTAATTGGCCTGTTTCAGGAGCGGATTTATTTTTTTGGGGCCGCCCCGCCCCTCTCCCTTATTTGGAAAGAAAGAATAAGAAATTATTGATTGCCCAACGCCCCAGAAGTTATTTCCGGGCGTCCAGATAACAAAAATTTCCTGGGGGAATTCCCCGGACCCCTAAGAGTAGTGTTGTCTCTCGACCCCCTCCCCTTTTGCGGATATCTCTCAATCCGCCCCTGAGTTATTGTTGGTTGACTGGCTTCCTATGCCTTTCGGGTCCCATCTTTGTGTATACATTATTTGTAGATTATTACAAATTCGTGCCAATTAGCCGTTCCAATTAAAGTAATGAACTCGATGTAATTATTAACTTCCGACTAGACAATAATAGAGCTTACGGCAAAGAAAATGCAAAACAAGTTTAAAATATAACGGAAATTAGTTTCCCTAAATCGGCAAAATCTGGAGGCCTACTCAATGAAAGTCCATAAGTTACCATGCCCATATTTCCACACATTGGGTATTATTTGCGATATCAACCGTTTACATATAAGATACGGGTAGTCAAAATGTGATAAGAAACGATTATATTGTCAATACATATAAGATTCTATATCAACTGTATAATGGAAACGGCATGCAGTTTATTGGAATTTGAAGAGGCCCTTCCATCATAAAGTTAGCCTCATTTAGGTCGTACATCTCAATGAAACAATAAAATAATCATAAAGTTTCAGTTGGTGTTAGACCAATACAACGATATTATAACTGGGACTATTCTACGGATGAATGACCGTTGTAGAAACCTTGCTCAATGTACTAGGTTATCTATCTTGGCATCGGGATTATAAAGATACAGTATAATACAAATATGGAAATACAGTCCATGGTTGGAACAGGCAACAGTAGTTTATAACCTCACACAAGTAGCCTTCTGTATATATATTGGCATAGGCATATATTACTATTAACGTTTATTTGAGCGAATATTGAATTTGCTATAATTAATTAGGCTATAGTGTTACTACGTTGTGTTCTTATCCTTATATTCGAATACGATTTGTATGTATATGATCTACTCACCTCGTATCTAAATCTGTGAGGAATGGAGCGATCAACTTTGTTCGAAAATCTGAGAGATCAGTACTGAAATCAATTGGCTGCTCACCAGTGGGCGTATGCTCAAATTTCAAAAACCCATCGGTATGTACCTGTTAAAAAAACCACCATAGATGTTAAAATCATATAAAAAAAAATACAATAAAGATATAATCTGCAATTTGCCAAAATTTATTGAAAATCAAAATTAACGAGACCTTTGTCTCGAAAGGTAATGGAGATGATCTTGGGTTCGAATTTCGGTGGATATTGCTTTTTTCTTTTGTTTTAAACTATTTATGAAAGTATAATACATACTCCAAGTATTGAAATACACGCCATCGTGTTGGGATTCAATATTTCGACATTAATTATGTCATCATCAGGATTTCGACATTAATTATGTCATCATCATTCCTGATGATGACATAATTAATGTCGAAATATTGAATCCCAACACGATGGCGTGCATTTCAATACTTGGAGTATGTATTATACTTTCTTAAACTATTTATGTTCCTTTTTGTAGGATTACTTATGTTTTCCGAAGTTAATGTTTAACCACCAAAATACCTTTAACCGTTCAAATTTCTTTGCAATGTCGGATTGATCTTAAAAGCTATAAATAATAGACGACTGCCTGCCTTATAAAAATGTCATAACCCAAGTATGCGCAAAAAATTTAGGAACTTGGTTAAAATCAAGCTAGAGTAGTGTCACATCAGTTTTTCGCAGACCAGTCACCTAGTAGTACCATAACCAGTAGGCCTACAATAGCCAAAAGGGGCCTAGATGATCGTAACAGGAAATATAATACAGTGATATTTGACTTCCAATAGAGGAAGGGGAGCACGATGAGATGAAAAGCAGGAGCAGAAAACAGACTGGAAGAGGGGAAGAAACAAAAGATTGAGAGGAAGAAGTATACAACATTTTATGGAGAAGTGTAGCGCAGTTGTAAAGCTGGTCACTTGTTTGTCACATCATGTTCTCTCACTGTATGTTAAGTTGGTTCATGGTGGTTCGAATAAAATTAAATTAAAACGTTAAAAATCCTAGTAGAACTATTTTATCGTTTTTCTGATTATGACGTCATTTGGTTTGATTTGTGAAAATATTTTTTTTATGTATACACGATAAATAGTTATCGAATCGTGCTAATGTGAAAACCTCTCATATTCCTTTAATTTTCTATATGAACAATTGCTATTTTGAGCTTTTTATCTTTGATCGATATCGTCATAATGTACACAGGTCTTAATGGCCCTTTCCGGAGTGACAACAGGGCCAGGAATAAGCGCGTGCCTTACAAACACACGTGTTGTCCCACGTATAGTTTTTACGGTGTCGTTTTGTAGGGCCTAGCAACAATATTCAAGGGGCGGAACTTTAGCGGAAAGGTCTGTTATTATGGATAGATGTCTTAGCGTGATCTCAGACTCTGTATAAAAATAATATAGCTAACCCATACCGTATACAGTTCAAGTTCTGTGTTTACACATTTTGGTATAACATAGGCCTAAGTCTGTTTGAGAATGTCTTTACCTTGTTCGAGCCACCACATAAAAGAATGATACGTTAAGTTGGCAAATATTAGGCTACCTCAAGGGTATGATATGAAAACAACCAAAGGTCTTTATAAATGTCGGTCATTCCTTTGTGAACTATATGAATGATAACTTACAATTTAAAAAATTTGACGAATAAGCTATACTGATGTCATTGTTTACGTAACTTAAAATTTGATCCATTATTTATATCCTGTTATGTCTGAAACATTTTCGTTCTCATTGTCTATGCTGCCACATCCGGTATGCAATACAGTACAGACATAGGCCTACAACTAACTATAGGCCTAACATCTACCACGGAGGCATCTGCCAAGGCCTATACTGGTGTAACACGTTTACTTGAAAGCGGGGTTACAATATCAGCTCCCAAGTAAAGAAATCACTTCTTTGGTTGCAAAAATACAATGAGATTTCATGAATCTATTCAGGCTTAATTGAAGCCATGGATTTGCAGTTTTAATGGGACACGGGTTTTAGCTGTGCAAAGTCCGATTTCAAAGTCAACATCAGACGTCTTGCTCAAAATTAGACATTGTGGGGTTTATAATTGCGCTTTTTGTTTTTGTCGGAAGCATTTTCTTATGGATTATCGGGAAATAAGCATTTAGAAATTAGGAGATAATTGCGGTATATAACATCCATACATCGCCAGTAGCGGGCCGCTATTGACATTGTGTAACTCTATGCTTGTCTCTTGGTCATTCAATATTTCTTTTGGTGGTTTTTTGGTTCACCGCAACATTTTCTCGGCGTCCACACGGAAAAATAATGGATAAAGTACATAAGAAAGAAATCACGGTACCCGCGCCTCATAACCTTCAGAGTAAACTGCTAGCGCCCTGGTCCGCTTGGCTAGCGAACAACTGTTGCATTTAGGTTTCTCACATTGTTGTTCATAAATCGGTTCTGATAATTACTCAACAATAACAGGTAGTTAGACTGACGGAATAACCCAGTTGTTTGCTAATTGGTTGTTTGTGGAGTGTATGGTCTACAGAGAGAAATAAAATCTCGATGCACATTCCATTGCCATAAAATCGCTGTTAACATTTCGACTAAACGTAAGGAGTCGATTGATTCAAGCAAGGAACCATGACATAGAATTGTCAATCTAAATATTTCACAGCCAAGGAGGTGACAGGCAATGACAATTCAAAGTTTATTAACCTGATGACAATCACCTGTACTG